ATAATAATAATAATAATAATAATAATAATAATAATAATAATAATAATAATAATAATAATAATAATAATAATAACGAACAGAAAATATTTACTTGTTCAAAACACCAATAAGCTCCGCAACATATCGTCTTCCAATTCGATCACTAGTATAATTTTTGCATTGAAACACCAATATATATTTTTTATAGGGCCCAAATACATCAATCCCATTATCTCCGGGATAACGTCTATCTAAAATAAAAGAATACTAAGTAATTGCCAATATTATAAAGACTAAAAACTGAATAGTCGGTTCAGTATTCAATCTATATCCTCTATTCATCACAGTCCTATCGGAACCTTTCGTCAAATAGAATACTAGTAGAAGGACGTTCACCCTGGTCCTGACTAGGGACTTCTATGATGGCCCGATGTGCTTCCAGTTCTATAGTATTCTACTAACTAGTGACAGCGTAACTTCAAGGATATATAACTAGCAAAATACTTAGTGAGAATACTCACCCACTATGGTTAGCCGGAACACCCAGTCTTGTCAACACCCGGATCACGTCCATCTCAAGATCACGACCACGCACGACAGTTGATTCATCGATATTTGACATCGTTACAAGATAGAGAAGAAATTTGGATAACGGAAAAACTTGAAAAAAGAACTTTTAAATACATGTTTTTGCACCCAGAAGTAAACAATAAAAAAAGACGCGAATATGGACGGTATAATAATAATAATAATAATAATTGAATGTATATTTTTTCTGTGTCACAATCCCAATTTTGTGAAATGATCGACAAACATACAATATAGGTCGTGGAGCAACGGCATGTGATCACGGAAAAATGATTTATGCGTTGTAAGTTACTTTAGACTTAGTTAAATATCTTTGTGAATTGATTATAAGTTTTTTCCCATTCTTCCATAAGATCATCAACTTCTTTAGTATACCGTGACGTAATAACTCTTCACCGACCAGCCTATCCCGATCTGTTAAAAATTTGTGATATTTTCTGGTATCTTCATTCCTTTTTATTCCTCCACGACAGAACCGTATATCTTTCTCCAAGTCCTCACGGAAGCATCCCATGGCCCACCTATTTTTCTCAGTCTCAGTAATGACCGAAAATTTCTCGGGATCCATTCCATGTTCGATGGCATATTGGCGTAAGCCTGCCTCTGGCCGATAAAGGCGGGTTTTGTTTGGCACGCGTACTTGAATTTCCGGTAAGCTCTGTATAGCAATTATAACTTTCTTTGATTGCTACGAAAAGGACAATTAAGAAAATAGTGATCATTTTTACCGAGACAGCTCCAATCGCCCCATACCTCTTTGCATACAGGGCATTTAGCTTCTGAATCGGTATATTTAAATACATCTCGATACCATGCATTCGAATTAGTGTAAGACAAGAAAGGGAAGCGTTTATGTACCGCATCAAGGATTATACTTTTTTCTTCCGGAAACTTAGAAATCTTGATGATACAGTCTCGTGAAAGATGATTGCTAGCATCCTCTTCGATTTGTTTAGATTCGGAAGTTTCAGAGTTTATCCAGGGATCGAGTCCAGTTTTTTTCTTATACAGTGGCGCGCATAAGTAACGCACCACTCAAGTCGTCGATCTTAAATCACAAAATTTGCAATCACGAAAGTAACGACGAACATGCAAATGATGAAATACGCATCAACTTAAGCTACCTATAAAAAACGACCGGACATTATTATGCCCAACTATGGGCAATAATCGTTAATTCGCAAAAATGATGGTGCGTTTTTTTTGTCGTTTATTAAATAGAAATCATTTTCTCAAATAAAATTTTATTCGAAACAAATATAATCGAATAAAAAAATCATAAAAACATTACACTACCACTTCGTATACCCTCCCCTTGCTTTGATCACATCCCTAATCCTCTCCGGCATCGTGTTAACCAGATCAAAACAACGACCTGTTTCGATGTCGTTCCAAACCTCCTCCAACCTTTTCCAAAGATCATTTTTATTAGAAATTACACCCGGAAGTGCACGAAGACGAAGATCAACATCATGCCACAAATTTTCAA